CTATCCAGACAGTGAATAACGGCCAACGCGTGTGTCTGGCAAGTAGGGGGTATATGCACTTATATTCATGTATAGCGTTTGCCGTACAGCGCCCAATTGCTCTATAAGCTTTGCAAAAACCCAACCTCCATATCCCGTGCTGCATATGAGCGCTCTTTCGTATGGCGTGTGGATTCTCCAAGTCCACTACGTGCCCCTTTCCTTTCTTTATCTGGCGACGTACCTCCGCCTCTCACTCGTCCAGTTGGGCTCGTCGACACATACACAGACACGGTGACGCAGCAGGGGTGTGGTGGGTTCCATCACTGCCGGACGTACGTATATATGTACGTATGTGTGCCCCTTCCACCCTCTCCACGAGCCAATGGAGTATTGTTGTACGAGCCCCATATGACCACAGGCATGGCATTTTGTTCCTGCCCGCGCGGGCATTCGTTTTCCTGCGAGACCGGATGGCTGTCTGTACGTGCTGGAAACCGACGTACATACATACATATATGTGGACTACAGTGGGAAGTGTTCGTGCATGCTAGTGCCCCCTCTTCCTCCGCCCTCTTGACAAACTCGTCCTCCGTTAATCGATATACTTCTTTTGTGTCCCCGCCAGTTCCTCCTTGCGGGGGGGTGGCCTCCAGGACACTCCAAAAGACGTCGGTGATTTGCTGAGGGGGGGCAGCACTCTCACAGCAGTGCATGCGCCGCGAAGTATATGGGGATGTGTACAGGTGCGGGTGGCAATGGCGACTTGGTACTTGGGCTCTGTGGTGGCCCCTACTGCGAGGCCCCCAGGATTGGAGACTCTGTAATCAGCCCATTTTCATATCACATCACACACAACCCCACCCATATCTTATCTATAAGCAAGCACAGCGAGTGCGTTGTAACTTTGTATTGCCTTTTTAGGCGTTGCATACTGCGTACGAGCCTCACCGATAGCTAGGCTGGACCTACTGTTGCTGTACCCACCACCGCTGCTTGACGCCAGCTGAGCATCCGCCGGGGCCCTGGTGACAGCGCTGATGGGCGTTGCTACTACTCGGCAGGGGCTACGAGCCTTGGCCAGCGTGCTACGATGTATGCCCATGTTGCGCGAGAGATGACGGCGAGGGAAGCGGCAGGTGGCGCAGTGGAGGAGCGTGTGCCTGCTAACTCCCGTGCAGCCCGTTCGGACACTCACGTCCACGGCATGGACACCGGTCTTGGGGTTCGGTGTCGGTCCTTTGGGCTGTGACAAAAACGAGGGGGGGTCCTAGGGTGTCATAGGGCATTATGGATCCTCTGCTTCGACACAAAGGAACTAACATAAAACATTACCCGCCGATGCTTCTTCAGCAGCACACACACACACACACACACACACACACACACACACACACACACACACACACACACACACACACACACACACACCGCGACAAACCTCGACCGCCTTTCCAACCCCCACACCCCCACCGCAGCAACCCCCTCCCTTTCACGACCACTCTCCTCCTCATCCCGCCTCCCCCTCCTGCCGCTACTGCTACTGCTACTGGTACTGCTGACGCGGCTGCTTCCCACACACACATTCCCTTTCCCATCGGTCCTTTCCTCCGAACTCTAGTTCCACTGCACTCGCACCTAACACGTTCACACACACACACACACACACACACACAACGTAACTCATCCCCATCACCACCACCACCAACAACAATCTCGGCCCACCGCGGTGGGGTTTGGCCAACGGTTGCCTGCCAGCATCTTTCACCTCTTTCCATGCCCAACTCCTCCCCCATCATCGTGCGCCTCCACTGCTCTTTGACCACCCCACCCCCC